AGCAGGAAGCAAACAGTATTTAACATGGTAATCTCCAGTACTTATTTGCACTTAACAGCAGACTCTAATCCAGTCACATCTCTGATGAAAAAACACAAAAAACCCAATCCAAACCAAACAAAATCAAGCAACAAAAATTCACATTGTTGTAACTTCAATGCTTTATCATCATTATTCCAGACAGTCATAGCATTTTACTTCATGCTGACCTCTCAGTTTATCTCTATATATCTACTACAAACATGCTCTACATCTCTGTCCCTTGTTTTACAAAGGGATTCTCCCATTGAAAAGACGTTATAATGAAGAAACCTTCCTACAAAGCATGCTCTCAGGAATGAGCTAGAACAGGTGTATGTAGCAAGATCAAAAAGGTTTATCATCAAAGGTGTGCTTCAGTATGTCATTAGATCAGTTACCGTAGCAAGGTGGTATACATCAGGAATGAGGATACTGCGTATTTTACACAAAAGAGTAACTACTCATGTGAACTCTGGAAATCTGACTCACGATAATAAAGTTTATACAGGCCCTAAGGTCACAGGTATTTAAAAAAAATCCAGTTTTGATAGACCAACAATAGGACTGATCTTCAGCACTGATCTTACTCTTCTTTACTGCTAAATGAAACATGAGCAGACTTATGATTCAGTTGCCCATAAACAGAGCTAGTTCATCAGAAAGTAGTTTTATCTTTAATGCAACATATAAATCACAACCATTATTTCAGTCCCATGTGACCTCCTTTTATAAGAAGGTGCAAGCTGTGGTCTAAGATATACTGTATCCACTGATAATTTTTACCATTATTTAATCAAATGCATATTTCTATGCAACTTTAATGAGAACAGAAACTACTGTATCTAATCCAGAATAACATCAGTCCAATTTAACAGTAAAAATAGTTTTACACTCTGATGCGAACAGCCCTGCCAAAAGAAAGCAAGAAAAGCTCAGTTGGAAATACAGAAAATACCTGTTACCTAATAGTGAAGTCCATACCCATTTGATTTCTCACTTCAAGAGAGCACATCAGAGAACTCAGTATTGGAAGAAAATTACGGATGCTTTGGTCATTGCTTTCTAGGCCACCATCAGAATAAACATTTTATCTTAAGTTGTAAATACATCTATTAGAAATACTACTAACTACTAAGATAATAATAGTAATACTACTACTACTAAGAAATATTACTAACTTCATTGTATGCAAAATCCAAGATTAGAGCAGCAGGATAAAATATGCTAACCTTACAAATGCTGACTACATAGGTATGGTGGCTCATTCAGGTGTCTTTGAGGTTGGCAGAACTAAGTATATGGCATCCGGCTTGTCAAGTGATGTCCTTTGATGCTTAAGCCTTTTTTGTGAGGTAGTTTCAGAGGTGGATTTTCAAAACACACTTAAAGCAATGCATGCCAACAGAATACCTTGCTAGCTTCCCTTCAAGTAAGTGTTGAAATGATAGCATCATACTGTTATTAAAACGTAGTAATATGCAAATGTAAATTAAAACATACTTAGTACACTGCATGGGTTGTTTGTACCTGTCCTGGTTTAAGCCAGGATGAAGCCAGTTTTCCTTCTACAGATTTTTTTCTTCAGTGAACTCTCTTTCAGCAAGCTTACCAGCCAGTGGACTGATAATTCCTGAATGTTTATAGTTACTGCTGAGAGAACAAGGACACATTGCTTTACTTATTTAATCTGCTGCTTCAGACACTAAAGGAGCAGAAGAGTTGTATCTACAGCTCTCCCATAGGGAGAAGCAGACCAGACAGATGGCAAAATTGACCAAAGAGATTATTCAATCCCATCTATAAATTCAGGTATTACTGAAGTCAAGTCCTTCTTATTGTCTTCTCTTCCATCCATGGTTGGCACCCAGGGAGGACTCCATCTATCCATTACCATTGATCCCTTGTCTCATGCATTCCTGACCCTCGTAACTCTCTCCTCAGCTCCTGTCTGCTCTGCCGCTCTCTCCGGCAGCTCCTGGACACTTCAGAACTGCTGAGGAGAATGATGTGGGAGTTTCTGGGGGTGGGAGGTGACAGGGGTTTTGCACATTTCTGTATGTATTTGTGTATATTTGTACATATTTTCTTTTATCATTAGTATGTAATTAAAGCTGTCTAATTTAATTTTCAATCCAGAAGCCTCTCTCCTTATTCTGTCTCTTCTTCATCTATTCTCTCTTACCACCTCCTGGGTGGGAGGGAATAGGGATCAAGAGCATTATTGTCACCGGTTTAACTGACGATCCTGAGTGAAACCGTGACAGTACCTACCATACATGGTCCCATCTTGCTTTTAAAATTCTTCAGAAGATGAAAAGGAAGACTTAAAACTAACTTTTGAACAACAGTAGTAAAGTCCAGTGTACCAAATTAAAAAACAAGCGTGGTACTTGACTTTCCAACTTAGGCACTGTGCAATAAGCGATGTCAGTTCATGACCCAACTTGAACGTTTCACAATGTTACTGCATCAGCAACCTTAAGAAATAAACAAGACATTTACCTCAGAGTAAGCCAAGGTAATATGCTCATATATCCCTTGATGATGATGGATAGCATCTTCTAAATCTTGCAGTTCTGAGGGAAGCTCCACCTCACCACAGGCTTTACACCATGAGTCCACATTGCTCATGTACTGCAACAGGGAAAGAAATTCTACTTAATTTTGGGTCCTATCAATAAGTACACACACATTGATAATATACGAAAGGACTGACATTTGTATGACAGCCACTGAAAAGACTTTTATTAAGGGAAAAAAGCTTAATCTATTTCTCTCTCAATTAACCAAAACAAAGCTTGTTTCAGAATAGAAACAAATATTCAAGTTTGACAAGACTTGTGCTTTTAGTTACATGGAACTCTTTGAGTTGTTCACAGACAGGCAGGCTTAACTGTATGTTGACAGCCTTCAGAACCAATTCAACAGCTGGCAATACTAATGCTCCAAGTTTACCCTTCCTCCTTTCCTTCACTTTGCAGCTAAGAAAATATTTACTTTACTGTGCACCTACCACTTCAGATGCATAAAAGCCAATGAAGGTCTTGTCTATACAAAAAGGCCAAATATGCTAAAACTTCGAGGTCCAGACCCTCAACTCTTACCTGTGCAGATGTTCATGGTATCAAAGTCTCACCTCACCTTTTAAAAATCTTTAGAGAAAACCAAGTTACTTTGCCAGTGCATGCACACATGCACAGACACACACATAGAATTAATGGTGAACTGTTCACTGAAACACTCCATAGTTGTCTTTTGCTGGAAAGAGATCATCAAGGAGGCAAAGCAGTATTAGAGCACAGTAAATTCATGGCTCAGACCCCAAAGCATTTACTTCTACACACAGAGAAGCACCACCCGTTTGACAAGGTACTACAGTAGCAAGAATGTAAGGGATTTACAACTTAAGTGGGGTGTCTCTTAGGACTGACACTGATTTTTCAGCACACAGCTATGTCAGCACAGCTTCTCAAGTCAAGCCTCTCAGAAGAAATTGAGGATACTGCAACAGAATCTCTTCAACAGACAATTCAATTTGTCTCTGAAGCTTAGGCTGTCTTGACAGACAAGAAACTATCATCATAGCTGTATGCACAGCAGAAGTTCTGTCAACTTATTTCTGACAGCTAGGGGGCATGGATTTTATACCTTTGTTATGCTAGGAAAGAGGAAAATAAACAAATCTGTTTCTCTAGGAGTTTTCATAGCTGTTGAACTTATGACAGCCAAGCACGTGGTATCTGTAAACTAAATTTGTCCTCTACTAATGTCAAGCTCAAGCCTCACAAAAATTTTTAGAGACCAAGCCATTTCTCTTATAAGTATCTTAATTCCTAGAGCACATGTAGTCTTCTGAGGAAAAAAAGTAATTCACAGACCATTTCTGGTACCCCATTATCGTCTGCAAGCTGGAAAGAAGAGTGACAGAGTACTTACCTCTAAGATTTATTATTTCATTCTCATTTCATCGAGGAACATTTAAAAAAATCTCTTAACATTAAACACTGAACATTAAAAGAAGCTCCATGTGGGACCAAAGAGCTGTATTTCTTGCACCAGTCAGCAGGCAGTGATAGCTGCCTGCAGTCTTCATTGTGTCCGACAGTAGGGAGCGGCACTTACCTGTCACTTACAAAGGAACATGTGTTCAAGAAAGGTGTGTTTTTAAGTTGGCTGCTTATTTTTTAATAATCTTCTTATATAGGTTAAGCATCAGCAGCCTCTAAAGGGATCATTCCTCTCATTCCAAACCCTCTTCCCTTGAACTCACTTTCTTCTGATAATGAAACAGCTAATATATCACAGCCAGGTATTTTACAAAGCAGCTATGACAGTCTATCACAGTTAATCATCAAATGAAAACTGCAGAAGGAGCAATTAAAGAGAATAAATTAATCCCAACAGATGCTCCACTGTATTCTCTCCTCCTCTTTCCTCCTGTTTACGCTTACATTTAGTGCTAAAGGTTAGCACCGACCCTTATCACAGATGCTCAGCACGCACACAAAATTTACTGACTTCTGATGAACATTATTTTCTTAAAAAGAAAAGCTATTGAGTCAAGGCATGCCTATCTGTTCATGGTTCACCATCTTACTCCTACATGTAGGGCTGGCAGTGCTTAACTGTAAAACTAAATAACCCAAGCACTTAGAAAAGCATTAATACTGATAAGGTACCACACTAGCAAATGCTTCAAGCTGATTGGTGACATTTACACCAGAACTTCCTATCCTTCTTATTTGTTTTTTCTGTAAAACCTTCTAAAAATACTTATTGTAGTGGCATATACACTTCACCTGAAAAGCCCTAAGGATAGTAAAACTCACATCACTACTAACATAACAAAATGCAATGTGTATTTGCATCTTAATAAAATCACATTTCTAATATGTAGACATTTATGAAGTTGAACATCTGTGTAGTAGAAAACATAAGAAAAAAATCTTAAAATGAAGTGTGCTACTTCTGTTTCTGCTGTTACCAACTCCCAAATGGTTCCTTCATTTATTCCAAATTAAAGTTATATCAGACATGAGACTTTTTTTTAATCCAATTTAGCATGGGAAATGGAAATAAGAGTATCTACAGCAGCCACAAAGCACACCAGAGCTTCAGTCAGCCATAACTATGCAAAAAGCTCTGCTCTCCAAGTTCACCAGATGTGTACAGAGCAGACAGTCTACAATATCAATGGGTGACTCAACAACACATGCACAGCAACTCCTTCAGAACTGAATTCCCTTGAGGGGAAAACATTCTTTCACCATCAAGACTATTAACTTAGAAATAAATATTCCCATTATCCCCGACATATACCTCTTCTCTGGCAGTTACACACAATTAATGGCTTAATTAAAATAATTGGTATAGGCCTAAAGCTAAAATTTTTGTTTAATATAGGAGGAATATCTTATGGGATACTAAGTAAACACCTCCCACCACAATTCCAGATTCAGAAGGCAGTTAATTAACTTCTCAACTTTCAGGCCAGCTTGGATTAGTTTTCTATAAGCAATTACTATGAGATAAATCTTGACACTCAAGGATTGATTGGGGTGGAGTGGTGAGGACAACAGAAGAAGCAAATGATTTCTGGAGGTAGGAAAGGCATTACATCAATACTGACTATACTAATTTTTTCCCTTTCATTTTTTCAACTTAGAAGTTGAAACATATAGTTAAGCAGTTGAAATATAGTTAAGCATTTATGTCCACTTCAGTTTGATTCACACTTCTAATCTGGCAAAGTTTTATCTTGCATTGATATTGGCAAGGCATTGGGTGGAGAATATAAGGGCAGTAGGCTGCCCTGAGGAGAACAAGTATTTGTTTGAAAATCAGCAGAAATTAACACTTTCAAGACTCAGCTTAACAACTGCTGGGCCTCATCTAAACCTTGCTCCTACTTAGAAAGGTTGGACCCTTGAGGTCTCTTCCAACCTGGCGTTCTGTGAATCCTCTGGCTGTCTTGCTGACCTTTTCACTCACTCTCTTGTACTTCTTTCTAAACGAAAAACAAGCAGTTCAATTTACCATTCCAGCACAGAAACTTTTGTTGGTGTCCTCCCCTTTCACTAACCTGTTCAGCTTTCTGATGGAAGATGGAGGACATATCCAGTAATGTGCTACGTTCATCCAAGGCTGCAGCAAATGCCTTCCATTCTTGCTCCAGTTGACTAGCAATCTGTTTTATTTGCTGTGAAGCATAATGGCCAGACTCGACCAGGCGATTTGCTACTGACATGATGCGGTTTATGTTTACATACACATTCTGTGGAAGGAAAAGGGGAAACAGTTAGTGCAAGTTAGCAGACCACTTAAATACAGAGGTGTATTTCTAGAAAATTCTTTTTTATTATAGTACTGCTTAATCGACTGGTTTTATTTGCCAAGTCTGTGCATTCATAACTTTGGAATCTTGGTGTATAATGTAACAGTCTATATTATTGACAAGGGAGAAGGACAACTTGAAATGAGCAGAGAATCTCAGGATAATGTTAACAGTAACCTTAAACAAAGCCAAATTATATGAAAAACCATTATTACAATTAAGAAGAAAAGCTAACCATATTTTGCAACAGCCTCAGTAGGAATGTTCACAGAGGTTCAAGTTAACATTTCCCATATAGGAAAATCAAAGTATAATTAGTAAGCACTTTCTCTATCTATGGCATGCACATGTGGAACATCACTCAACAGATCTTTACATCAACTTATGGAAGTATTTCTACTTATTAAGTAACAAAATAAAGAACTCAAGAGTTCTAAGTAGTTAAACAGTTTTAGATTTTATTTTCCCACCACTATGTTGCCTCAGAGCTGGCACTTAAAATAGACAAATGAGGTTAAAGATCAGAAAGATTCTCTAGCAAACTGGCATTACTGAATAATGGCTCTCTGACACTCTAATTTTCTTCTCTTTTTCCTCACGTGTTTTGGCCTAAAGTGCCTAAAATCTGTTCCTGTTCTGATTCTGTATAAACAGACAGTATTTTTTTGAAAGGAAGCAATAAAGTTTTTCTAATTCCTGCAAAGCTAGACATAAGAATAACTTCACCACCAAAAGGCTTCTGAGTAGCTCTTCCAGAACTACACATATATAATGCTGAGTTGATACTTATTTCCATTGGGCTGACTGTCACACATCTAGAATTAAGTTCTTGGAATCACAGAACTGTTGAGGATGGAGATCATCTAGTCCTACAACCCTGCTCAAAGCAGGTTCGATCAGAGCAGGTTGCTCAGGGTCATATCCAGTGAGGTTTTGAAAGCCTTCTATGATGGAGAGACTACAGTCTCTCTGGGCAACCTGTTCCAGCTGTCTCAGCCTCAACACAAGACCGCCATACAGGTATTTCAGAGAAGAACTTGGTCATGGTGGCTTCCTAGAAAGGGACTGAGAGCTTTCCACACAATGCTGTCCTCTGTAGACACATCCAACTTTCTGCGTGTACACTTACAGAGACCCCAGTTCAGCCTTGTTTTGTTGATTACAGGGTCCCTTTTGTTCACAGAACAGCAGACCCTTTGCTTGCCAACCCAGTCCACCACCTCTCACTTGACTGTTGGTCCTTTTATTCCTCTCCCATCATTCTTACCCAAAAGCTCTCTGTATCAAGTTATTTAGCCTGCTGGGAAAGATATTTCTGTCCCACTTAACTGAACAGCAATCCTTGATCCTCAGGAGAGAGGGTTCCATGGCTGCCAACAGGAGCTGTGTAAACAGTTGTTGATCTGCAGCATCTATCTACCCTCTCACCAGAAAGACTGAAAACAAAACCACCTGGGCTCCCATGTCCTTGACTATTGCCTCTGGAGCCATGTAGTCATGCTGGAGGACTTTCTAGAATGCCAGGATGCAGGAAATGCCAAGAAGCAGTCAGCCACCTGTCAGCGGCAGCATTGCAACCTTCCCCAATCAAGGGTTGAGGAACTGAGCCCAGTGAACCGGGGGGGCAGAATTGACTGCAATGAGGCTCAGTAAAAGGCCAGGAATCAACAAATGACAGAAGAACAAACCCTGAAATTGCTGGAAAACTGCATGGTTATATTACTGTTGAGAGATGTGATGGGCAGCCCATGGTAAAATCTGGCTATACCCTTGCTACTGAGAGAGATGGTTAGGCGAGGACACTGGCAGGTGGACACCCAATACCACACAGACACTGAGGATCTGAGGTGGAACCATTACCTCTTGGCACTGAGCCCCTGCCTGGAGTCTGACACTGACTGGCTGGAGCAAGTGTTGCAGTTCCTCCAGGATTCACTGTATGGACTCATTAGAGCAGTAACTGGCACAGGTCTCTATTAATTATAACTGTATGCATGTGGGAATATACCTGACAGCCTAAACCTCAGTTGATCCACCTAATACACTGAGAAAAGCAGTATCATTTTGTCTGTTTTTCTTTCCTGCAACATACTATCTTTTCATTTTTTAAATTACCCCACACATCTCTGCTCTCCTCTAAAGCACTGCTGAACAACTGGAAAAGAAAAGAACTGCTATTTCAAACAAATATGAAAAAAGACAGAGCATTTAGGCCTAATAAAGTGTATGTGGCATAAATACACAACTGCTAAATTAACCCAGAAAGTAAGCACACAGTCTTCACAGTGGTATGAAAAAAATATGTGCCAAAAAGAGAAAAGAATGAAGGCCGTATTAGACTGCCATTTGAACTGTTTGTGTATCATAATGAAGGAATCTTGGCAATTCTGGAATGTCAGCTAAATATGAAGGATAGGGCAACATAAATGTGAAGGTAAACAAATCAGAACTAAGCTGTGGTTAAAATGCATTCATTTTCCCATGGCAATCTGGCTTCACAAGTGTAGAGGAATACCCCCTGTAGCAGTATGAATATGAATTAATACGCTGACAGTTGAACATGTTCCAAGCTATGTATACAAATACTTTACTCGAAAAAAAATCCTGAAACAATCTCAACCTTTCCTCAGCACTATCCTACCCCTCACCACCTAATATATCTAGTAACGGTTGAAGTTTTGGTATTTTAGAATGCAATAAACCAGAAGAGACAGATTTAGTTAAGAAGGAAAATAATCTCAAATTCTAACTCACTACAACTGGATTATCTAACTGATTCTTGAAGGTTAACAAATTTTGTTCAATTTTCTAAAACAAACCAGGCAGGTCCAGAGTCATTATTATATGACAAATGCCCATTTTCTGCACTGCTTGAGAAGCACTGTTCCAAGTGAGCTGGTGCTCATTCCTAAGGACTGACATCTTATTCATTACATTTACATCCTCGTTTTAGTTAAAGAAGCAACAGCTATCTGGTAATAATGGTTAAAGACTTGTTCAGCCATCTCATTTACATCCTATGAATCTGCATGAAACATCTGCAGCTTCTAAATGTGTATCAGCTGTCTGAACAGTGAAAGGCCGAAGGGATACTCCATTTCTTTCATTGTGTTACACATGACTATTTTAACAAAACTAAAAAGGGAACAATTCAAGTTACTGCATTACAATACATATAGTGAGTATATGCATGTACTTTATACTATTATTTTCTCTCACAATGCCCTTTATCCAGAAGCTGAAAATACACCTTACAGTATTTGGAAAGCTCCTTATGGCAGAATTATTCTGTAAAGGCAGTGTACATCTACAAAAGCATTGCCCAGAAAGGCAACACAGCTGAATAGCCTAATACAAGCTGCAGTGCACTGTGTCATTCTTTGGTGTGTGCCCAAAAGGCAAGTACACAGGGGAAAGTACAGGTGACAGTCTGCCAGCTGAACTGAACTTCTATCGCACTCAGTACAAAATAAAGATGGCAGATGCCCTGAAGTCTCTATTTTATTTCCTGATTTTTCCAAACCCATATAGAAAATGTTTGTTTAGCTCTAAGATTTCAAATAGTAAGTTTTCTGACACAGTTTTTCATACTCGTAAACATCAGAAAAAACTTCTTTCCTGTGAGAGTGACAGAGCACTGGAACAGGCTGCCCAGAGAGGTTGTGGAGTCTCCTTCCCTGGAGACATTCAAAACCCGCCTGGACACGTTCCTGTGTGATGTAGTCTGGGTGACCCTGCTCTGGCAGAGGGGTTGGACTGGATGATCTTTCAAGGTCCTTTCCAACCCCTAAGATTCTGTGATTCTGACTGTTATGCATCCAGTGTTAAAAAACCCCACACACATCAGTGATGCTTAGGTCCCTAAGCATCATAACTGGCACCTCCATATAAACTGCACTAAGTTTGAACTATTAATCTGTGATGAAAATATTTTAGCAATGTATTTTCCAAATCATCTGCCACTTCACACACAACTGGCCAACAAGACAAGGTGTAGAATTAGTGTTTGAAATAACACCTGCTTTAATGATTTAAATGTTTTCTAATATCTCTTCTATTCCCACTCTTACAGCAATAGTAGAACTCTCACTTGGGAATCCAAACTTCAAAGATGAGCACTGCATAACAACTAAAGGTATCACCTGATCTCTTCCCTTGAAAAAAATCCAAAACAAACTCAGCAACATCCAGACTACAATTAAGGAAAGCGTTTAACCTGTTCTTCAACTATACAAGGATCCTAAAAATATTCTCAGGTAACTATTTAACCATTGCTGTCAGCACTGGAAGAAGCCAAATATTTTTATTTCATTCCCTTTCTCTTCAAATTTATCATCTGTCTTTTCTACATTTTTCATGGTGAGCCTAAGGAATCTTACTACAATACTCCATATTCCAACACTGCCTTCTTTACTCTCTTTTCACTTACCTTTGCTTTATCATAGTAAATGCCCATGCCTTCAGTCTCCCCTTACAGTCACATGATTTTCATCTCGATGTTCTCCATTACAACAGTAAGTATGGGACACAACTGGATGTAGTTCTCTAGTACGACCAACTGAATCAGAGCAATTTCTTTAGAAATCTGAAGTTCAGCACCCCCAATAAGTATCAGAGTGAAATCAGATGCGTTTCTTCACAGTAGTTTCACTGTCTGTTCCTTTAGTTTATGACTGCCATGAACATACTTTTTGCCATATCAACATCTCACCAGCTCATTGCTTTTTAAAAGCTGTTTATTTGCTTCTTCCTTCTTAAGGGCTGTACATGTAGCCTATTATATTTCATCTTGTTGACATCAGAGTTCCCAGCAGCAGTAGGTTGGTGGCATGCAGATATTGTGTCTAAGCATTAACTACGATGGCATGAGAAAGATTCCCTTCTGGATATGCACTCACAAAACATCCTTCCCAGTCTGACCAGGATCCACAGCTGTGCAT